ACGGAATTTCAGAAGAATATTCACTCCATGTGCAGAAGGACATGTGTCGAGAACATATTGGTTGTTAGCGACAACCACCTCTGACAGCTCCCAACGTCCCGCTCCACCTCTGACATGAGCGCGGTGTGTCAGAGTACGGACGGGCAGCTTAGGCAGCCAACTCATCAAATCCGGACAGCCTTAGGTCAGGTATCTCACTCTTATATAAAGGGAGTGAGCCTTTCTTCCTTGACACGATTTTTCCTTAATTCAACTCCAGTATACTGATACACATACTAACTTAAGCATCGGAGGCTCTTCACCGGACACAACCCTGGTGTGAGAATTATTTGCAGGTTTCCGGCGTTCTACCGGCGAAGGCGAGGTTCGATCCATCCTAAACCGGGCCAGGACGCTCACACTTGCATTACATATCATGATGAAATCACTTGGAAAATATCCCTAACTCATGCCTCTATCACTTTCATGAAGAACACTCAAGCATATAATGTCATTAAGATAATGTAAAATCAGTTAACAATCAGCCTCAGATTTCTGTCCCGGTACAAAACTTTATCTCATGCATGTCAACCTTCATAAGAGTACAACTCGAGCTACATAGCACATATCGACATGAAATTTATCTCATCTGAAATATAAAAAAAAACTTATAACTTTCATGAAGAGCATAAGTTCATATGAGCATATTACGACACGATAAACAGGTCACACATTAATTACACACAAGCTGCCGGGTAGTAGAAAAAACTGGACGCGCAATATTCTCGTAAAAATCGTAACTTATTCGATATAGCTCGGAGTTACGAAATTCCAAAGCCCAGATATAGACAACCGAACATACTACATTTCATAAGAAGAAAGCAACTTTAAATAATCAGTATCTGATAGCTTAAACTGAGGTACAACATAAACAACGAACAACTTTTTGAATATACAACACCTTAGTAAAATGGCAACAACTCAAGCCACACAACTCCAATTTATACAAACTCAAAACCTACAGAATATAAACATGGAAATCTGCAATTGTTATGAAGATAAATTTTTCATACAAATACTTTCGGGTCATCAAAACAGAGCACACATTCAACCCTTAAACACAACCTTAGTTCATAAAAACTGGTGCACATCCCACTTAGAAAAAATCATATAAAATAAACTGGATCTCCAAATTGCAAGATTTCAACTCCTAATGAAAGCTTATAACATGTACTACAAGTTTATGATGATTACATTTTCACATAGTCACATTAGGATCATCGAAAACAACCCGACGTTTTAATCATCCAACCTGCCTAGAATTTCAAAAACTACATGCATGCATAATCTTTAAAAATTCATAATAAATTCAATTCAATGCCAAACTGCAAAATTCCAAATCCCACTGAACCCTAACTCAAAATACTACAATTATTATGATGAAAACTTAACCAGAAAACAATGTTAGGCCACAAAAAACTGAGCACAACCAGAGGCTCGAAATTTGGGGTTTCATGCCTTTAACAACTCAACACGTTCGTACAGCAAATAGCCTCGAAATCACGTAAATTACACGTTAAGAAAGCCTCGATATCACTACTTTAAGACTTAAATATTCGATATATCAAAAAACACATTGTCCGAGGTCCAACTCGGTCTTATTAAACATGATAGAGCAATAACAACTTATGATTTTACTTGAATAGTTACAAATTTTCGATTTAATAGCATTAACCAACAATATAAATTCAGCCCGGGCTCAAAAGAATACTGTTTGTCCTATTTTTATTGCATTTTTCGTTATTATTTTTCCTTTCTTTTCCCCCATATTAGGTCTTTAGATGGTTTTTGGTTCGTTTTATAGTTTATTGTGTGTTTTGCTCTGTTTCGATTTTTTTTTGTGTTTTCCGTATATTTTCCAGTTTTTCTTGGTTTATGGTGTGTAGGTCAGAAGCCTCGGGAGGACCGGATTTTAGGCAAAAATTTGTCGAGCAAGAGTAATTAGGTAGAGGAGTTCGTTGGCAACGCACAGGAAAAAGCAGAATCGAATTCTGATACCAGACGAGCATAAACGACTCCAAAATGTGAAGTAGTGCAGCCTGCCAATTGTCGCGGCGCGGCACGTACGCCGTGACCCGGACAGAGACTCCCATGCTTACGCGCGCCACAACGCGACACTCACCGCGGCTCGACAGCAGCATTCACCGCGGCGCGACGCACCTCCACGGCACGACAGAAGCAGTCCTCGTGCGCTATGCATCACCACGGCGCGACATCGACCCTCTCCACGGTGCAAGACCTCTTCGCGGCGCGACATGAGTAATTCTCACGAGCGCGAGACCCCTTTCACGGCGCGACACTACTCCCTTATATATATAGCGATCGAGACTTCACAGAAAAAAATGCTCGACCGGGTGAAAGCCCCAGGTCCCGAGAAAAAACACAGAAAACTCTCCTCTCCTCCCCTTTTCTTCTTCTTCATTTTTTCTTCTTTCTTTAATCTGTCCTCTCCAATTTTCTTCTTCTTTTTATTATTGTTCAAGGATTAAGCTTGTAACAATATTCAACACTTGGAATTGGGATTTATTGTAAGTTTCTTTTCTCTTATTTTGAATTCATGAAAAATGGTTGAACTTAGGGAGTTGATTTATTGTGTTGAATTCATGTTACATAGTTGATTCAAATTGCTAGGGATAGGGAATGATTGTTCTTATCTAATTCGTATCTGTCGGGCTTGATTTGTTCGTTCTTGTGCGAGTTGCTTTGGTTATGAAACCTGTTGATTGATTGATATAATTGAAGGGTGACACTTTAATCTTGCGATTAGAAATATTTGGATATTGATTTTGTCGAGTTAGGGTTTTGTTGATTCTAAGAAATAGTCAATTAATCACCCTCTGATTTAATTGAGCAATCTTTGGAACCGAAAGGGGAAAAGTTGTGGTCTTTGGCTTGCACAAGATAGATGATTTCCTAACGGAATAGTTTATAAATTTGGATTGAAATACATGCTTGCCTATGTCCCATTCCTTGTTACGTGAGTTATTGGAATCGGACCTCCAGATCGGCACCGTATGCTCGAACTTGCTTGTCTATGTTCAATCCCTTGTTACGAAGAGTTATTGGGAGCAAACCCCTAGATGTTTAAGCGAGAGTGTCAATCTTAAATCGAACAATTAATATCTCGATTTTGTGAATAAAACTTGAATTGATTATCCTCAATTCCCTAGCTTCTCCATCTTCGTTTCGTTCTCATTTTTAGGTAGATTATGCTTTTTATTATTTCTTAGCTGATAATTTCTCAAACTCGCTATCTGATTAGTATGTTTAGGATTCATTTTCTTTCTATGTTTATCAATATCATAACTAAATTTCGAATCGCCTTCCTCGTGAGATCAACCCGGGGAATGAATCTTTCGATTCGATACTCGGTAAAAATAATAATTTGTACACAACAAATTTGGTGCTGTTGTCGGGGAAGGCAAGTAGGATATTTTGTTTGGTATTGATTTTATTTTCTGTTTTTCTTTTTATTTTGTATTTTTCGAGTTTTTGTTCTTCCTTTTGTGCTTCTTTGTTTTTCTTCTGTTTATTTTGTTTTTGTTTTCTTTGTTTTCTTTTTTCGTGGCTATGCGTGGTTGTTCTATTTTGGTGTGCAGGAGATATGAAATTCAACCGTGCTTTTCCCTATCCGCACACCCAACTTTGGGGTTACGAGCCGAGCTATCACACCGGGTGCTACTATCAGTCATATCCGTACTCTTCCGAGCAGTGCTGGGATCCCTACACAGTTGAGCAAACCTATGAGTCCCACGAGTTTAACGAGAAGCTCGACTGCATCTACGCTTTTGCAGCATCCCGATAAGCTCAGGAAGAAGAGACTGCAACCCAGTGTGCCCGTCCGAACCAGCCACCTCCTTACCATGATTCTTGGGACTTCGACCAGACTTTATCATATCCCTACGAGCAGCAGTGGGATTCCTGGCCTATCGATCAGTCATATGAGTCCCTCGAGGACTCCTCAGAGTACTATGCAAAGCTCGAACAGGCTCTCGCTCTTCTAGAATCCCTAGCGGCCCGTAAGAGCAATCTGGAGTCCAGAATCGAGAATCTTGTTGAGCGCATGCAAGCTTTAGAGGATCGAGCTACCAATTTCTCTGTAACACCCCACTTTGATTTTAAAGAAATTCCGGACTTTTTAAATATCAGTGTAAAATTTTCAAAATCATTTTCGAAAATTCAATGGGTGTT